AAAAAAAATAAGACAAAAAATACTCCTCCGCATTATCAAAAAGTGCCTTCGTCCTGGTTACGCACTGCTCAAGAGTACGTTAGAGAGAATTTCAGAGTTTGGTGTTATCAAATCTAAATCCAGGTTACAATGTGACCGACACAATGCGGAAAGGTGTGATCGATGTTGGGCTATACAATAACACTCCCAAGGAGCTGTTTATCGGACAAGTTGCAATTCTTGGAGGTTTGCATTTCAATTCTGAAAATATCTTAATGCATTTTTTTGCTGACGGACACGGAGTACGGTCAGTGAGCAAAGCTGAAACATTGGAAGTTGGGAAGAACAACGGTGAAAGAGACAGTTGTGGGATGTTTACTTGGTCATCTAACGGTCAAATGCCCCAACCAGGTAAATGGCGAGGAAGATACTGTCTAAGGCACAAAAAGTGGTAAAATCCACTGGATGGGGTACATTACTAGATTTACTGGCAACTGTTACGTCACGTAAATGTTGATTTGATAAAAAGCGACCGTGCAAAACGGCGATGTCGTTTGTAAAAAGATGGCAGGTATAAGCAGAGGAACTCCTAAGGCTGTCTGGCCGGATATGCTGACTTGCACATGTAGCTGCATGTTACTAGCACATAAGATTCCAGATCAGTCATTGAAGCTATTTTGGTAATTTCATCATGGTAAAACACGTAATTCAGCTAAAAACGCGTGCGCTTATTGCAAAAACTAAGCAGGAAGTAAGCTCAGGGCAGTTGCAGTCTTCATCAGCAAAATGCTATTTTACAAATGCTCCTTTGCTTTTTTTTTCACTGTGCAGGACAATGGACGTTGGTAAAATAAATCAAAGCAAAGAATCCTTTTTTTTTTCAGGATGCTCATCGTGGTTAATGATAGCGACATTTTCGCACTTACCAGTGTCAACAACACATAGCATTACAGGAGCAACAGTCGGTTTTGGGCTGTTGATGAGGGGTGCGCATGGCATACACTGGTCAAAAATCATCGATATCAGTTAGTTCAGTTACAAATAATTTAAATTTCTGGCACATATGAATAGATTCTGGAGTTAAAAGACAACTGAATACATTGGGAAAAGAAACGCTTTCTGCTAAATGTTGCCGTTATGTTAAAAGTATGTTTTACGGTAGTTCAATACCTACGTTGCTTGCTGGGTGCGAGTGCACTGTTACACTCAAAAAAGTAATCAGCGCGTTGCAACGATTTTTTGCTGATCTGATGTATCCCTCCGTATTGCATAAGAGCTGGAGGCACGAAATGCTCTGTCCACCAAGCATAAAGTTCCTAGGACGGGCATTTTTCGGGATGAACTGTCCACAAAACGTAGGCTGGAACGCACCAGGCGAGCCGGAGCGATCATGCGTTTTTGCACAAAACTTG